ATGATTTTTAATTTTATGACTCGACAAATAAACTTGACGAATTTTCCTTATATGGACGCATGGAAATTTATAAATTCAACATCTAACTTACCATTTGTAGAATTTTAATTATGTGAGATGACACATTTCTAAACCAACAAAATTAAAGGAGCCCTTATAATTTTTAAGAGTCCATATAAATGAATTTCTACGAGTTTAATTATTAGGTACATCAATAAACGACTGCTGAAATTCAAATTTCGAGTGAAATGGGACTCAAAATGCTAATTTTGAATAATTATTGCATGTAAAAGTAGGACTAAATCCATAAAGAGACCAAAATAGATGGGACCAAAATTACAATTTTCGGGAGAGACAGCTTGAATCATCTTACACGTCATGATAACAATTATTTTACACGTCAGTAACAATTTGCTCTAGAATCCACGGTCACTAATAAGTCGTTTATACACCCCTCTCTCTGTCTACATTTACATACGTTCGTCTCTGGTCGTCACACTACATTTCCATTTATTTCCATCGAGCAGTACTTAGAAATCGAAGGAACTAATTAGATCGTTGATGATGCTAAAATATAGCTCATCTGGGGTAGTGTAGAAAACGAACTGGGAGAGCAAAGCAGATCAGTAGCTTGACAACTTGATGATCCTGAGGTACATGCGAAATGAACACACGTGAACTACGCCGGGGGTTGACTCGGCGGAAACCCCTCCGACGCTCAAGTCAGACGTGCTGATCATAGAAATAGTCCAGAGAATACAATTGATAGTATTGCTCAGTTAATAGGACGTACCTTAAGGAATGAGTTCAAACCTTTATTTATAGCTTAGTCGAGATTGTCGGGCCCAAACCTTACTTGAAGGTGATTGGGCCTCAGTGATAGTGGTCTTCGATATTGGGCTCGTGGCCCTGTAGTTAAATAATTTGTGGGCCCATTGGGCTGGCCCAATTAGGCATATCATTAAGCCCCCCACTCTCGAGTCGATGTGGGGGCCATATTGGAATGGGTGACAGATCGTGTCGAGAGTAAAAATTGTACTAGTCGATGGTGTGCGAAAACGCGATGGAGCGTGTGTCGGAGGGGCGTGAGTGCGCGTTGGCGCGTAGCGCGACCAAGTTGTCGCTATGTAAGTTATTTGAGTCGTCGGTGTTGTCCCGCGACGATGTAGTAGCGAATTATCTCCTCGTGGGAGTTGTCTCGTCGCGGGGTAATATAGTTGATCGAGTTATCTCCTCGTGGGAGTTGTCTCGCAGCGAGTCTTATTATCGAGCGAGGTGGTTGTACGTGGGAGTTGCCTTGCAACGGATTTGTAGTATCGAGCGAGTTGGCTCCTCGTGGGAGTTGTCTCGCTGCGGGTTGTGGTACCGAGCGAGTTGGCTCCTCGTGGGAGTTATCTCGCTGTAGGTTGTAGTACCGAGCGAGTTGGCTCCTCGTGGGAGTTGTCTCGCTGCGGGTTCGTAGTACCGAGCGGGTTGGCTCCTCGTGGGAGTTGCCTCGCTGCGGGTCGTAGGATGTGGCGAGTGGTCTCCTCGTGGGAGTTGTCTCGCTGTGGGTTGTAGGACCGAGCGAGTTGTCTCCTCGTGAGAGTTGTCTCGCTGCGGTTATGAGATCCGAGGGAGTTGGCTCCTCGTGGGAGTTACCTCGTAACGGGTTATAGGACGGAGCGAGTGGTCTCCTCGTGGGAGTTATCTCGCTATGGTTTCGTAGACCCGAGGGAGTTGGCTCCTCGTGGGAGTTGTCTCTCTGCGGGTTGTAGGACGGAGCGAGTGGTCTCCTCGTGGGAGTTATCTCGCTGTGGTTATGAGACCCGAGGGAGTTGGCTCCTCGTGGGAGTTATCTTGCTGCGGGTGCAAGGACCGAGCGAGTTGTCTCCTCGTGAGAGTTGTCTCGCTGCGGTTATGAGACCCGAGGGAGTTGGCTCCTCGTGGGAGTTACCTCGCAACGGGTTATAGGACGGAGCGAGTGGTCTCCTCGTGGGAGTTATCTCGCTGTGGTTATGAGACCCGAGGGAGTTGGCTCCTCGTGGGAGTTATCTCGCTGCGGGTGGTAGTACTGAGCGAGTTGGCTTCTCGTGGGAGTTGTCTCGCAAGCCCCCCACTTTCGAGACGATGTGGGAGTCATGTCGAAAGGGGTACCGGATCGTATTGAGAGTAGATCGGTGCTGTAGTCTTGCATTAATCCTGAGCGTGGGTGTGGAGGAATAATTTTTTTTTTTTACCTCTTAGAGAGCGCGCGCGATTAGGTAAGGCGCGTTGGAAAGCTCACGCAATTTGGTGGAGCGCTTTGAAATTCTCGCGCAATTAGGTGAAGCGAGGTGAAATCCGCGCGTAATTTGGTGTAACGCGGTAGAATCTGCGCGCAATTAGGTGAGGAGTGACGCGCGATCTGATGTATCTAGGAGCGCGCACGCGCGTGATTGACTGTTCTGGGAAAACGTGCGCGGAGAGAGAAAGCAGGTGCATCGGTGCGCGCGCGTGGAGAGTGAGGGTGGGGCGCGTGTCGTGCACGCGCAGGGAGAGGCAGTGGGGCGCGTGCGTTACGCGCGCGGGGAGAGAGAGGCAGGGCGCGTGCGCTGCACGCGCATAGGCAGAAGCCACAGCAGCGCAGTGCGCGTGTGAAGCACGCGCTTGTCGCGCGTGGATGTCACGCTCGAACTGCTGTTCTGCTGCGATTTTTTTTTTTTTTTTTTTTTTGTTGACGCGCGCGCGCCCCGTAGGAGAAGTTGCGCGTAGCTTCGCGCGCGCGGCTTGGCTGGGCTTACTTTTGGATTTTTTTTTTTTTTTTTTTTTTTTTTTTTAGGCTTCTTTCTTCTTTCTTTCTTCTTCTTCTAATTCTTCTTCTTTTTTCTTCATCTTCTTCTTTTTTCTTCAATTTCTTCTTCTTTTTTTCTTGTTTCTTTTTTCTTCAACTTCTTCTTTTTTCTTCTTCTTTTTTTTTTTTATTTTTTTTTTTATTTTTTTTGTTTATTTTTTCTTCATCTTCTTCTTTTTTCTTCTTTTTTGTCTTCTGTTTTTTCTTCTATTTTTTCATCTTCTTATTTGATTTTTTTTTTTTCTTGGTGGTTGATGTTCACCCCTTGGGATGTTCTATTTTTTGAGTAGGAAGATTATACTCGTCTCTTGTGATGTGATGTGGACCCACTTGGGGTTGAAAGGTAAGGGTGGTGCCCAACCTTGGGATGGGTTAACCACCCACTGTAGGATGAGACGCTCGAGACCTATGGTCTGAGGTGAATGCACACGGTTGTGTCGTTGTTTCAGTGACAACACGAGTTGAAGCTTTTGCGGTCGTATGCTGAAGGTCCTTGTCGGTTATCTGAACCGTTAGAGGAGCAAATAGAAGTTGATATTGTTGAAGTTTCGGCGATCATACGCTGAAGGTCCTTTTCGGTTATCTGAACCGTTCGAGGGGGGGCGGAAGTAGGCCCCCAGAGAGTCGATGACCCATGGCGAGCAAAATATTTTGGGGGCACTATAAACCCCCAGGGAGTCGATAACCCTTGGCGAACGAAATATTTTGGGGGCAGATGTAAGCCCCCAGGGAGTCGATAACCCTTGGCGAGCGAAATATTTTGGGGGCAGATGTAAGCCCCCAGGGAGTCGATAACCCTTGGCGAGCGAAATATTTTGGGGGCAGATGTAAGCCCCCAGGGAGTCGATAACCATTGGCGAACGAAATATTTTGGGGGCAGATGTAAGTCCCCAGGGAGTCGATAACCCTTGGCGGTGGTGCATAGGTGGCTCCACATGTGGAGCAGGTGCTGGTATCGCGTTGGGAGCATTTGCTCCCATCGTGGCGATATATTGGGTCACGACCTCTATGGCAGCGCGAGTTGAAGCTTCTGCTATCACGCGTTGAAGCGCATCCTCGGTTATTTGAACCATACGAGGAGCAGGGAGTGGTGGATCGGCGAATGGTTGGTCCCGATGGGGGATCACCTGAACCTCGCGAGGCGGATCCATGGGACGTGGAGGAGGTGGCAAGCCAGAGCCTCCACGAGGTGGGAGGTCGTTAGCTGTGTCATTTTCTCTCCGAGCAGACGCCTCATGAGGATCTTGTTGGCTACGTGATCTGGTTTGCATCGTTCCCACAGACGGCGCCAAAATGATGATGCTAAAATATAGCTCATCTGGGGTAGTGTAGAAAACGAACTGGGAGAGCAAAGCAGATCAGTAGCTTGACAACTTGATGATCCTGAGGTACCTGCGAAATGAACACACGTGAACTACGCCGGGGGTTGACTCGGCGGAAACCCCTCCGACGCTCAAGTCACACGTGCTGATCATAGAAATAGTCCAGAGAATACAATTGATAGTATTGCTCAGTTAATAGGACGTACCTTAAGGAATGAGTTCAAACATTTATTTATAGCTTAGTCGAGATTGTCGGGCCCAAACCTTACTTGAAGGTGATTGGGCCTCGGTGATAGTGGTCTTCGATATTGGGCTCGT